CGACTAGAAAAGGATCAACTACATTCCATTTGTGCAAAAGAATGTATTTTCTCAAATGATGATTATCCAGTGTCCCAAGGGCCTTAAAACACTGCATATACAATGCCCCCAATGCATTTTATTTCACAAGTTCTAAGCAATTTTATTTACTGGACCCACTTTGGGTTAACCTGGGTCTTTTGTTCCTGCAGACCAACAGTTAAAACTGAAACTACTATATATAGTTTAGAGAGAGAGAGAGAGAGAGAGAGAGAGAGAGAGAGAGAGAGAGAGAGAGAGAGAGAGAGAGAGAGAGAGAGAGAGAGAGAGAGAGAGAGAGAGAGAGAATATGCATACAGAGACTGACCTCCATCATCACCTGAGATATACAAATTGCAGTCTTATCGTGTCAATGTTTTGAAGTTGAGACTGTGGGGAGAACAACTTCCTGAGAAAATAATGGTAGTGACAATTGGTAGGCCTGCATCTTACCTTTATCTGTAAAACACCAGTGGATTAGACATTAAGGGTCGAATTCAGAAAGGGTGATTAGATTATGTCTGGCATGAATCATTTTTTTACCCAGTGTGATATATAAATTACCCTGAAATACATTGTGTGCGGTACCTCTCTATGTTTAATCTTGCTGTTTTTTTTTATCCTTTTGGGGGTCCCCGGGGCCAAAGGCAGCAGGGGGTCCCCGGCAGACGTCCAGTTCTTCATATGCCCTATCATTCTCTACATGATCCTGTACTCAGCAATTGGTACCACGTTCGTTTGACCAAACCTCCCTTGGCTGCCGGTCTAAAAGTAGTAAATCCTAATTTCTGTGGTCTGTGTAATATACATATATCTATATCTATCTATCTATGTATGTATGTCTCTCTCTCTCTCTCTCTCTCTCTCTCTCTCTCTCTCTCTCTCTCTCTCTCTCTCTCTCTCTCTCTCTCTCTCTCTCTCTTTATATATATACATACATACATATATATATATATGTATATATATACACACATAAATAGATAGATATAGATATATAGATATATGATTTTATAATAATTATGGTTACCTTTAATCGTATAACAGTGAACCCTCGCTATAACGCGGTTCACCTTTCACGTTCTCGCTGCTTCACGGATTTGCATTGTGCATTGTGTTATGCATTCTGATTGGCTAAACAGTCTCTCCGCTTCTTCTCTACCTGTGTGTCAGTAACGTAACGGTTTAATATGTACATTACGTAATACAGCTTGCCAAATCTGTTTGCAATTTTTCTCTAAAACCCATGAAGCCTTCAGTTCGTATTGATGATTAAAATTATTATTTTACAGTACAGTAGTTATTTGTAAAAAACGTTTATACAGTACTATTATTTGTTAAACAAATGCTTGGGCCTGTAAAAAGGTTTTGTTCTTTGGTTTCAATGTATTGTAGAGTATTTCATTGTATAATAATTGTAAAAAATAAAGGTTACTACTTCACGGATTTCGCCTATCACGGGTTCTTTTTGGAACGTAACCCCCGCGAAAAACGAGGGTTCACTGTATACATATTTTCATTACCATTACTAATGGTTTCGTCGTCATTATTATTGTTGCTGTTGCTATTGTTGTTATCGTTAATGGTTTTGGTATTTTCAGAGGTGCATTATATTTGCGTTTTCCGTTCTCTTATACTGCTGTTTTAATTATCAAAATAAGACCAAGGTTCAATAATGTCAACAAGGCAACGATGAAAATTGAAGATAAAATGATATTAACGATAATGATAATCACACTAACCAACTACATGACAACGACATCACAAACAACATTTTACATACATTACTATTTTAAGACCAAACAAAACAACGTTCTTATACTGCTGTTTTAATTATCAAAATAAGACCAAGGTTCAATAATGTCAACAAGGCAACGATGAAAATTGAAGATAAAATGATATTAACGATAATGATAATCACAATATAAAATTATAACTAACCAACTAGCCACACACATGACAACGACCATCACAAACAACATGAACATTTACATAACACCTGTTGCGACGCGCGCCTTGTGATGCAGGATCTGTTGAACCGCTTCGAACAGCTCGCCTCCCGCCGAGCTCGGGCTAATGGAAGTGGCATTATGGCACTTCACCAGGATTTCCAGAAGGACGACGTTGGCGGTCAATTCAGCGTGGTTCTTAAATTACGGTCAATCAGCATGGGCGAATCGATCACAGCCGCACGGGGAGTTGCGCAGCTCAGGCACAGGGCCTGGGAAGCAGTTTGTGGCGGCGCCGGCAGTGTTGCACTCGCCCTGCGGTCGTCTCGCTTTTCGGTTGAGCTTTAATAGGGAAAATATCATTGGTGTTACAGAGATTTATTGGATATCACTGGGATTTGTGTTATTTTTTCTATTGACGATATTTGATTTATAGATACCTTTGTTTTATTTATTTTTTTATTTTTTATTATGATCTTTTTGTATCGAAATGATTTAATTTAACCAAAGCATATATTGTGAATCAGTGTTAAAGT